ATGTCGGTATGACTGTGACTTGTGTGAGTGTGTGACTCCGTTTTGTTTTGGTCAAAATGATACATGACTTGACCAGCTGACGATGTGCTGCGCGATCGTGATCAGGTGCCGGTGACGAATAAATACTTCCTTTACTTCTTTTCATTAACAGTTAATGTTCTAATCAACTATTTGTAGAAAAGGGGATCTACACAACATACCTGCTCTATCTAGTAACGAATCAATGCAGAACTACGCTGGTCAACAGAAAAAAATTTGCAGACTCCTCGTTGCATCAAATGGGCGATGGCAGTTTACGGAAGTGTAGAAAATGGAGGACAATGACGTCATTTGTGTGCCTTCCACCTCAAGGGAGAGTCTTGCTGATTGGACAATGGGAGCAAAATGGCTGAAATGTACCCAATGGCAAACGTTGGCCCTTTTTCTGATTCCACAGCAGACGGCAACTTTTTATTTTGGTGAACGTACTCGTAATGCATAAGCAGCTCAGTTTCCAAAACGTATTTCAACAGAATAAGGTCTGAAGCTGCAACATAAATTTCCAATTAACGCCGAGAAGAGAAAGGACAGAGGAAAGGTTGCAGACAAAGTGCTGAGAAACTTTATTTGCTATATTCGTACTCCAGAAAAAGTGAATTTTAAATTGTGCAGATTTTGGGAGACATGGGCAGGGAGGGGTGAAATTTTGGGACGCCGGGAGATTTTCTTTTCTATTTTGTTTATTTGTGGGAAAGGGTTGAGAAAAAGGGGGATGTTGTCCTTACCTTTTGCTCTTTGGGCAACTGCTTATCATTAACCGGGAGAGGGTTAAAAGTTTGATCCTCCCTCCGAGGTCTAACTATACTTATACAAGCCGCTGTGAACTAGTGTCTGGTGCCAGGGGTCCAATGGCCACGTGCTGGGAGCTTACAAGCAGATATGGAAAGATAACGCCCGGAAATTTTTTTTAAATCTGGGATTGATTAAGGTAAACCATTGCCCTCAAGCCTTCCAGAAGCGTGAGTCCCAAAGTTTAACATCTCCTAAAAAGGGCATAAAGATATTTCAAAATTGCTCCTCCCCCCCCAAAAAAATGTTCCCCCTGCCCCCGAAAATAAGGTGGATCTGCCCTTATCAAGCGCGCTGCAAACTTATAGGCCTATGGACGTCACCGTACCGTAAACACACTGTGCACAGGTGAAGCGATACCTTTTTTGACAACTTCGAATGAGTGCGTGTCTCTGTCCTCTCTCAGTTTCCTGGCCACTTTCGGCAGTTGACGCCTAACGTCCGTGTAACGTGACTGGCCGTACGTTCTTTCTCATGGGTGCAAATTTGACACACCATGATCTGCTCAGTCAATCTTACAACGGATGGGCAACACCGAGTAACTGGGCAAATGCGTTTTGGGCCTTGCCAAATATTGTGCGGTGGGACTGACGAGCAAAGTCTGCGAAAGTCATATTAAACACAATGTTGTATAGGATCTTCCAAAATTTGGGCTAATTAACCGATTTCCATAATGTCAAGATCAAAGGAACTTTACTACAAGGTCGACATCATCTTCGTAGTGTCCATATAAGAAGTGCTTGCCTACTAGCTACGAACACTTGAGCCATACCCTTGATACCAAGAACTTAGCCAAAGGAACACCGAAGGCACTTTTCCCGGATCTTAGCTTGCCAAGAACAAACTGCTCGATCATGTAATGTGCGCCCCTTCCTTTTCCCGAAGATGCCTTGAAATTGCAAGGTCAACAGTGCAACTGCAGAACAGACTTGGTTAGCTGCAGCGATCCTCTTGCTCCCAATGTTGCCTGCGGCGGTCGAAAAACTCTTCAACCGTCCTGTCTTGTGACACAATGGTTTTCGTCGTCAAGTGACTGACGAACAACGTAAGTAATGGTTGCCTTGTATAACAGTGAAATGAATGAGTCAGAGATTCAATGCAAAAATAAAGTCCATGACCAATTTTTGGATAATTCAGAGCAGGGACCCTCTTTTTGAAATGGAACGATTAACAAACTTGGGTCTATGAAAAGAAATAAAAGCATAAGAGCCTACCTAGTACCTAGAGGCCTTCGCGATGCATATAACTGCTGCAAGATTTAACCAATGTAAAAAAAGGCCAGGTGTGATCCTGCATTTAGGGATGAAGTTAAGAAAACGTCCAAAAAAATGGTCCTTGTTCATTTTAAAGAGTAACAATCGAAGGGGATACGCTTGTAAATCTCTTGACATCCCTTATAAAAGCGGTTTTCATAATGAACTATTTGAGAAGACGCTGTACGTTCATCCATGCTGGGTTTCGCATCAGTGTCACGGTCTCCTGATCGAAGGGTCCGTCAACCCTGTGCCAGAAAACTCCGCCACGAGTTTGCGGAAGACCGTCCAATTAAATGCTGATCAGCTGGACATTATTAGAGAATGGTGTAGGAATGATAAGCCTAGGTGACGTGCAGACATGACCCACACGAACTGATTTTGCTCTGCCAGAAAGTGTGTAATAAGGAGGGAAAATGGGAATACGGGTACGTCGTGGGCCAAAACCATGATCCAAAACTCCGCCGGTCTCGGCCCGTCCTCTTCTTCAAGTTGCTAATCTGCGCTGTTTGGGTCCAGATCCTTCGAACCTCGGGCGTGATAACTAGTTCTGCAGACCACTCCTCCCCGACATCCCTCGTCAACTTCGCTTCGTCGACCACCACCTTGATCGTGTGTCATGAAACAAGCACCTCATAAAACTTCAAATAAGGCTGATGCACATCCGGTTTCTCGTGTCCCACAACAGGTAGAAATCAACGACCCTTGGCGAAAAGGACGATGGAATTCTGTACGTTTTTGACATGAAATACTATATCAACAAAGTATCATCTTTTACATGGTCCGACAATGTAACCATTACAACAGCATGGGAAACGCCAGCATTGTGGGCAATCCGATGGGATCCAATCGTTTTCAAGATCTCGTGGTGGGCAATGTCGTTCCAACAACGACGCGCGCACACTACAATTTCAGGCATTGCCGTGCGGCTTGACGAATTTGTGATATTTGACAGAATGAATGGACAGTGTACCTAAGGATGGAAGTACTCAAAATTCAGATTAAAAATTAAAGTTCCCCATTCGTCGGGTTCACAACTTTTTCGCACATGGGGAATCGCCTTTCAAGAAAGTTTGAGACGCGAGTGCAATGACTAAAATTGGAAAGCAACAGGAGAAAGGTCTGCAGGTAATATATAATGCAATAACTGCGTTGTAAAAAAAAGAGTGAATGAATGAAGAGCTGGACTAGGGCCGATGATGTCCCTAAATGAGCTTTTGACCTCCTGGAAATCAAACTGCAGTAATAACAATTGAACTTTGGTATAGACTCGACGGCAGATTGTCATTGACGTGTTATCAGTGGGGGGGGGTACCAGTAACTTACGGGAGGGGTACCAGCTTTCAGTGGTGTTTTTTTTTGGGGGGGGGCAAGTTTTTATTAGCCTTGTTCAATATCCATTCATCCGTTTTTAGAGGGGGGAACCTGGGGCGCGGGGAATGGGGGGCATGTGCCCCCCCCCGGTGGCTATACGCCACTGTGGATTGTTAACCTCTCACGTTTGATACAACAGTCGCGACACATCCATCTGGTCAAAGTGTAGGATCTCCTGTTTGTGATGGCTGCTTCATCTGCAGACTGTCACCGCAAGAACTTCATTATCTAGACTCGGGAGCCCTTTCTCCAAAGTTGTAATGACTCGAATCACATGTTTTGGTGACCTGACTCGATTCAAGTCTCGACAGGTAAATGACTTGACTCGAATCTCTGCCACCAAATTAATCTCTCATGGAGACTCGAGTACAAGCTTATAACACTCGAGTCTCCAAAAAAAATGAAAAGCGTTGATATCTGTCACCCCGATTTATTTTCAGTATGTCTAAATGAAAATAAAAATGCCAAAAAATGACTTACATGTATAGTTGTGTTTTATTGTACTTTGTTCAAAAATTTGTGACTCAAATTGACTTGAGCTTGGTACATGACTCAACTACACAATGTCACTCGACTCGACTTCTTGACCCAATGACTCGACTCAAATCACAATGTTAAAATGACTCGACCTGAGTCACCAAATTTAGTGACTAGTTACAACACTGCCTTTCTCCCATCGGCATGAAAACCTGAGACCCTCGCCCAAGCTCCTTAGTGTGAAATCTCAGACTACAACATAACCATCTCCAGGCAAAACTGTCACTTCTTCTACATTGACATATAGTTGAAGTGGTGAAAACATCGAGAGGAAGTGCTAGGCCTAATTATTTCTATTTTGAAGCTCCAATCATCATAACTGAAAGGGATGTACACAGTCTGAGCGTCTTACGTTCTCCTTTGAACGGACGTCGACGGTTGAACAACGGCAACCTGTGCACACGGTGCAAGCCACGCTTAATTTGCTTTCAGTGCCCACTGCCGAAAAAAAGCGTGCACCCGGGGGGGGGTGTTCCCGAACAAAATGTTCCCCCGTTCTGCCACTGGACGGATATCTAAATCCTTTAACGAGTTTGTAACAGACAACCAGCCTGAGCACTGCCTCGATTTTTCAATCAAGGATCAACTAACTAAGACCACCCTAAAGAAATGTGACATCGATGGTCACACCTGGGAGAATCCATCTCAAGACTTATTCCTCTGGCCGCTTTCTTGCAAAACTTGAAGGAACAAGCTTTTTTGAGCATTGCCAGATGCAACAGAGAGAAAACAAGCAGTTCGAAAGAAAGAATTGCGATCGCCAACTTCAGCGATTCTGATGGCCATATCACTCTCTCTCTCTGTAATGTGCAAGATGAAATAGCCGCTTTAAATCTGGATTGGATTCTTGAGCTAGTCAGAAAGGTCATGAAAAAAGAAGGAACAGCATCCAAATCTTTGGATTTGCTTCGAATCCCCGGCAGACTAGAAAGCATGTACTCCGAGCTCTGTGCCTCTCTGATTTTTTTACAGACAAAAGAGGGCGCTGGTCATTGCGACTATGGTGATCCAAATCATATCAACTGGCTGCGGCTAGCTTCCACCGCGCCGCGGCCTCTCGCGGCGGCACACATCGTTCTGCAACTGGAACTGGTAAACGACGCGGCTCTGACTGGACCATCGGCCGGTGTTTCCCACATGTACTGAGCAGGGGCCCTTGAAGTAGGGTTTATTTTAAATGGCTTTTCTACAAATTCTAGGTACCTTGTTGATTTCGGTGGTACTGTTTCTTCTGACAGCTTTTGGTAGTCTGTTTCTTACATACACGCTGTACCTGCACTACGTGCACGTCAAACACAGCCACATTCCGGGCCCGAAGCGGACAAGGTAACGTTACTATACTTGGAACTTGTCACATGACTCCCTTCGTCTGTGTTCTTTCAATAACAGTCATGATGTAATCATAATGAAGACTGGCGTCCAACCTGGGCTAGGGTGGGATCGGTGGCTATGATCTGCACGATCACCCGTACCCGATTGCTTTTCCAAGAAATCTCTAACTTCCCTTTTTAAAACAGTCTGCCACAACCGCAAATTAGGGCTTAAGATTGCACATTATCCTGGGAACTGTGGAGTCCTACATCTGCCCCACTCCCCTCCCAAAGCTAAGCTGTGATTGGTCATTGGAATGGAAGCAAATTGGACCAATCACAGTGCAGCTTTAGTCTGTGGGTGATGGCAAAACAAAACAAAAAGATAGGAGCTGTGTTGCAATTAGTCAAGCTATCACACAGCTGACAGTTATTGACGTTACATGCTGCTGATTTTCTGTAGTGTGGATGGGCAAAATGCTTATGAATTTCACCATTTTAATGAGGATATAAGGTGAATAAACCTCCCCATCTGACATCTAATCTAACTTCACCAAGAAGGCATATATGAAATTTGGTTACACAAATAGCCGTGATGGCAGAGTAAGTTAGCACAATCAAAACAGCCAAAATGTGTTTATGGGAGTTTGTACATGGCTATTCCTAATATGTACAAACCTTAGACATTACAGTTCTGGAAGTATCGGTAGGCCTACAGGATGTAGACCCTTGAATAAGTGAGCTGTCATAGTAGAAAACAGTGAGAAGTAACTCTGCTTCAAAAAATCCAGAGAAATATTTCTCAGATGTTGAAGACACATATTGAATTAAAACTCATTCCCTGATTTTTCATTTTCCTTTCAAATTCTAGTAGCTTACATGTAACTGTAGACCTACTAACTAGGGTGTTAGAACCTTTTTCAATTTAAGCTTGATCAATAGTGTCACTGATCCCGTCCAAAATTCACAAAAGGAGTTCTAGTACCTTAGTGGGCTCAGCTGTTGAAGATATTTGTCACCAGAAATGTCCTTAAAACGGCTGTGAAGCCAATCACCATTGTGAAAATTCATGCCCACACTCCATTGGTTGCAAAATGGATTAATTTGGAAGGTGCTGTTCTGTCCAATAATTTCAGAAATACAAGCTGGTAATCCTAATGGTAGCTTCCATCCTTCTTGACAAATCATCTAGTCCTATGTTTTTGGCCTGTACATGTATTTGCTGGCACCAAAACCAGTAACGTCCGAACTGTTTGGGAGGAATACTTTATGAGAAGAACATGGCCAAGCAAGGAGTCATTGAAATAGGAAGAGTTCCATAGCCTGCCACACTACCTTGGACCTTGTGCACTAGGTCTGTGCTGGGGCTATTGACAGAATAAGTCTAAGTACTTTCACAGAAAACTTGACCCTTATTCTCTTCTAATTTAGTGTTTCTTAATGAGACTTCATGTTGAGGAAGAAGACAGGTTAAAAAATTCTTTCTTGTTTGATTTCTCCTTTCATTTTTTTTTTTTTGGTCGGGGGATACCTTGGCTGTTTCAGTTTCATTTTCTTATCTGCTCTCGAATGGAGAAGTTTTCACTGAGGTGGGAAAAGATATGCCCTGCTCGTATTTTTGTGCCTCACCTCCATGTGGGGCTTGCCCTGTCCCCTCTTCTCCACGTAAATGACAATTTGCTTTTGAGCGGAGTTAGAGTTAGTGTTCATTCTACATAGACAAAGGAGTCTGGCCATGGGCATGGAAGAGGGGACCTCTCATCCCCACTTTCTTCTCCCAATAAAATTGGTAAAAATAAATAAAATAAAAAATGGAAAACATTCTTCCCCATGAAAAAAGAACACAAGGGAAAGAAACAAATACTTGGAAAGTAATGAAACTCTCTTATTTGCTTCAAAATATGTGTACCTCAGAATTAACCCCCTTGTCCCTTCTATCTATCGTTGATGGTTTGCCAGTTTGTTGCTGATGAGTGCTCCCCCTCTTGGAAAGAGCTTTGGCCTCTTCCTGATGACACCCATTGGTCAAATTTCGTTTGAATTTCAAATTTCAGATTTTTAAAAAAGTTTGTCTGGACTAATTGCCTTGTTGGCCGTGGATGATGACAAACCTTTTTGTGTGGTGTTTTATTTTGTCGTAGTTTTTATTGGGGAAACTTGGCAGAATTGTCCGTAGCCATTAAAAGGAACCAGTTGATTGACGACCTTCTGTTTGAGTGGTAAGTGGAGTCCTTGTATATTTTGTCTTATGTACACATGATATGTTTACTTTAAAGATGTTTTGTCACTGTTATCACTTAAGCCAAATATGCAATAATATTTAACACTTTGACACTAAATACAGTATTACTATTTTAAATAATTATAAACCAGGTTTCCCTTTACGAGGTTGTTCATCTGGGTCTTGAAGTCTTTTAGCATACATATACATTTATTATAACTGAACCAAACAATAGCTTTTTCACAAATGATTTGACATTTTTTTACATTAACCCTAACATTCCTGAATCCTCCAATTTTAATGTGATTTTGCACACACACTAGGGAGTTTTAAAGGTCTTTTAGGTCTTCAGAATGTACCAGGATTTCAAACAGTTCTTGTCTCCTGTTTTATCGTATAGAGTTTTAGTAGTCATGCAAAAATGCTCTGCATAAAAGGGTTCAATCCCACAACAAGTAAAAATGGAACAAAATAGTAGCCAAGTACCAATGTAAACACGATAAATGTAAATTTACACAAAGACCGAGACCACAGTGCTAAGGTCAAGCTGCAAGAAGATGAGAGGGTATTCAGTACAAACCAATGGATTACTATGTTCACAAGGCTTTGACCGGGGGGGAGGGTCTTGGTGTCCTTTGGACACCTTGTAGGATATTTTTAATACCCATTTTTGATGTGCAAATTGATATTTCCATATTTTTTTAGGTGTTTTTTTTTTCAAGGTAAATCTGAACATGCAGCATTAGCGTGCCCAGAAAAGCCAGTGGTTTGAACTCCGAATTCTTGGCACCAAAAGTCGGGCCTCTTGTCAAGTTGGTGGTGAGGGGGATAAACCAGTAATGGCATACCTAAGTGGGAAAGTTTAAAAATAGATGTTTAAGTGTTAATAACATACTAGAAGCAGATGAAGAATTTCTGTGAAACTGTGCCATTGTGTTGTATTGTACTTTACAGGAACAGATCACAAAGATTTGTGCTGCATTACTAATTAAATTTGTAAATTTTCTCACAACACTTAAATCCATAACGGAAGATTACCACCACCACCCCCCCACACACAAACTAGATGTTCCCTGAAAAGGCCAAATAAAACATACGTCATGAGGGTAAGATAACCATAAAATGAAAGTGCTCTGGAGGCCGCATTCTTATAAATATGGTCAACTACTGAATATATTGCAGTGTTTATTATTGTTGCTTGATACTAAAGCCAGTTCTCTAATTCCTGAGACTGAAAGCTGGGCAAATCCTATTTATCCTGCATACCAAGACCTAACACTAGGTCTAGGTTCACCACAACAGCTGGTACATGGAACTCAGATGAAGATGACCAGGTTTTTCCCACTTACACAAAACACAGGTCCAAGCAGTATGGCCGAGTTTTTGTGTTCTACATCACGCACAAAGTCTTTGTTCAAGTGAACATTCCAGAAGCCATCAAGGTGAGATTATTACATTGCTTGCATTTGAGGCAGATTTGACAATCATAAACAGCATAAAATCATGTCTTATATATCTGTATTTTGGATTCTCTCAAGGTGTTGTTGGAATGAGCTACAAGTAATTCTGATTTGTTTTGAGGGAACCTTTGCAAGTGTCCTGCTGCTCAGCAAGGATTTTACAATTTTTATTTCCCAAGAAATCAACCATTGCCCTTTTTAGTCACTGGAATTTCTTACCAACACCAAGGACACATAACACCTTTTATTACAGTTTCTGTAAACATTTTCAAAGTAGAGTAAATCTGCAGCTGTGCCACAATGGCATATTATACGAATAATGAATGTTTCACATCAGTGCAACGGCAAAAATAATTTCATGAGGTGACAGATGAAGTTATTCTTACCATTGTACCAATGTGAAATGGTCATTATGTATTTGATACAACACCTGCATAAATCCTCTTCATCTGATTGGTTAAGCCCTGATATTACTTCTTGTATTAGGAGAACAAACAGTCCTCTTGTACGAGGTGCTGCCCACTGGTAGTACCTTGCAATGTTAGACTGGTTCTCATTCATACATTATTTTCTTCTTTCTTACTGGGAATGAAATGCTTGGAATGGGGGCAGTCAAGTGAAATGAAGTTCTATTCAATGGATACCATAGAATATAATGAATAATTTAGTGACTTGTGATTAATGATTCACCAATCAGATGACAGGCATTTATGCAGGTATTGTATGAAATGCCCGATTTATTGCAGAATGGAACGTCCGTTTTTGCGTTGTGGCTGTGATCAACCATCCACTGATCATATGCAGGGGGGCTTTATTTGGGTGTTGTTTATTGTTAATTGTTTAGAATCAAAGTTAGTGTCTTGTTCCACAGGATATTTTACTTGTGGATAATTTCCCGAAGCCACGAAGAGGCTACAGGTTTTTGGAACAACTGTTTGGGCAACCGTTTATGGGTAAAAGCCTTGTGACAGAAACTGACCATGAAACCTGGAAACCCATGAGTGCCATGTTTAGTCCGACTTTCCATCGCAAGTAAGTCCCTGAAACCCATTTACATCCAAGCATTAAAGTAGTACATGTATATTCACACACAGCAACTTTTTGGCATTTTACATTTTCTTTTAAAAGTGGCAAAAGGTGATATTTTCCGTCATATCGAATGTAAAGTCTCTGCCAATTTTTCAACACCAAAAACAGAATGAAGACCAGCTTTGGTGTTTCATGATCAGTACATTTAAACTATAAAGTTCTTTTTGTTACACCTTTGAATTGGACTGAAAGGTGTCAACTTCAACAATACCCACAACAATTCTCACAAATGGTCTACAGTTCAAAAGATTGGCATTAAAGACCAACGCGAATGGTTCTAAAAGTTTTGAAAATAAACTATTATTGTGTTTAGTGCGTAATAAATCATATATTCATTTCCAAATCATGTCTGTATTGCATCTGTATTTTTTGTAATTTTGCCGAAACTTTTGAACTATGTATTCAAGATTTATGATAAATGTCCTTAATCTTACCGCTGGCGGCGCTGTTGAGAAATGAAATTTGTATGTAGCAATACCGGAATAAACATTGATACTGGTATCCGTGACACAACCGGTTCCGCTACAGACGTACATGTACATGAACATGGAGCTACATGTGCTTGCACCGTGTACCAGAGATCGATCTGTGTGCCAGGTCTAATGTGCTGCATTATCTCTTTCCGGCGAGAGTTTGTGCTCCTTTTTTCATGATTGACAATAATAATGAATTCGTGTGTCGTTGCTTTATGTACTAGAAATTCCGCAAAAGAACTGGTATTGAAATTCTTTGAGTTTCCGAAGAATGAGAGCATTCCTCAAGATCATGCTGTCGTCTGCGGCTACACGTGCTATGCATGCCTAAAGCGCACACACTGTAGTATTTCTTCTTGTAATACAATATTAATTAATTAGATGCTAATGAGTCGTGACGACACGTCCATTTTTGTAGTACCGGACAGGTCTCACAGGAAAAATGGGTTAAAAAATGTGTTTTATGAACACCAAAACGTTGTATTGCAAGGGAGATATTGATTATTAGACTTGGCTCTTCTGATCCAATATGAGAAAAGTTAGCATTGTTGGAGTTAGTCTTTAATAATTTTCATTCACATAAAACAGTTGGTTTTTCTGCTCATCGAAAAAAAAAGAGGTCAGTTTGTGTGTCAGTCGCTGTTGTGCACACATTCTTCTGGAATACTGACCACAGCAACAAGGCCTGTGATTTTACTGCTACAAGTTACATCCTCCTTTTGCGTTTGTCATCTTTGGCAATTTTGGACAACAGCTTCTTGAAGACATGCATTGTTCAGTTCAATACCAGCTGTGACCTGCTCCTGGAGAGCCTCTCCAAGAAGGCCGACGGGAAGACGGAGGTCAACATGCTGGAGATGTTCAACAGGGTGTCCCTGGATTGTATCAGCAAGGTAGGCTAGACAGACACCATGGGCTAAGAGTTTGAATCGTGCTAGACGGTGAACTTTTTACCCCTTGGTTTTCAATTCAATACTGCAGACCCATTGACCGTCATCACTAACAGGCATTCATCTACCTCACCTACATGGACTTGTGCGAAACTTGCATACATGCCTTGCTAAGGAATGGGAACTTGGTCCAAGAGCCACACATAAGAACTTCATGGTTGAAAGAAAGCACTTGGAATGGAAGTCTCTTTCTCTTTCTCTTTCACATTGGTGTGTCTCTTTCACATTGGTGTGAAATGGGAATCAGACAGAAATATCCATGTTTCTCTTCAGGTTGCGTTTGGTCTTCATTTAAATATGTTTGAAGAAGAAAAGCCCCAGCTACTGGAAGACATCAGATGTGCGGCAGAGTCTGCGTTGATATCCTTCCTCAACCCGCTGCTCTGGGTAAAGCTCAATAGCAGAATTAATTGGGATTTATCTAGAAATCGTCTCAAGACTTGTTATCAAGTAATTAAAAAGTTAATCACTAGTTAGTTGCAAGCCAGAGAGTGAAGTTAATTACAACTTGTTCACTGTACGTGTACTGTAATAAACCAAGGATGGCATTCAGTATTATCTGTGATGTTTGACCCAAATTTTTTGACCTACCCCCTCCAGCAGGTCCCACCCACCCCCCCCCCCAAGTAGATGTTGCAGTATTATCAAAAATAGGTCATTTGGAAAACACTTTGTGGTAAATTTTTCAACCTTAGGGAGACATTGGTTAATGACATTTCAATGTCTCCCTGATGCTCCAACTACCAGAAGGAGGCCGAATTTTACTGTCCAAATTTAAAGAGATGATAGATTAGGGGCTAAAATGAAAACATGCAAAGTTTGGTTAAGATCAGATTACGGAATATTGAATTATGGGACAGTACAATTGGGAAAAATTTTGTGCATGTTCTTATGGGAATGTCTCCCTAATGACCCATTTTCGGTAATTATTATGATTCTTACTATTATTCCTAATCCCAATTACAGTGCAGCCCATTCAGGTCTGCCTCGGATTTTCGTAAGAAGGCGAGGCAAGCCGGCAAGCACTTGCGGGAGGTAGCACGGGAGTGCATCATGGGCTCCTTGGAAGACCTGCGATCCGGCAAGACCCTGGACAACAACATACTGAGCCACATACTACAGACATCGGCGCCAGGCAACGGCGGCAGCGCCACGGAGGCTGACCTGGAAAAGATGGTGGACCACTTTGTCACGTTTATAGCGGCAGGTTTGCATTGTCATTGGGTTAGGTTGCTCAGAAAGCTCATTACAAACTGTGCTGTCAGGATTTAAGAAATTAGGTGTGATTAACCAGTGTTGATTAAATTAAAAGTCTTGGGGGAAGAGGAGGGCAATTTCACTAGTAGATCAACTGATGATCACGTGTGGCTGTGGTGTCACAGTCTATATACTTGCGATATCCACCCCAAGCTGAAGTGCACCCCCTATCGGCAAAAGAAAGACAGGTGGTTACAAGCGGGTTCTTGCACACGTTCTGCGTGTACGCAAAGACCAAACATGCCAGAATAAAATTAGTTACGCATACTCGGCATGCTTTGCATTAAACGCGTATGTAGTTGCGCGCCTCATGGCATACCTATGCAGTGAGTACTAGAAAACACTCCCTCTTTTGTTCCGCTCGGAGCGGATAGGAACATACCTTAACAGGAGATACCCTTAGCATGCTGCTTATGTTGAACTCCTCAGTGTTGCCAATTATTTGGTAAGGATCTCATTGATTCTTGTCTCTTAGGCCAAGAAACCACTGCATGCCTCATGGCTTCTGCTTTGCTGGAGCTAGGACGACATCCGGAAGTAACGTACAAGTGAGTCTTTGGGACATATTGGCTAATCTTGACACAGCATCAAAGACACCGGGCTGATGTTATGGCGACAAACTTCCCTGGTTGTAGTATGTTCAACTTCATGTGGATTAATTGTGCTGACATCATAAATTCCTGTAAACTCTTTCAATCTGCCATCTTTGATGTTGACCCTTGTCAAAAATGGTCACATTGTCTATGGCTATTCACAGGGCACCACTGGCGAAAACTGAAGCCGTAGCCGTAAAATGTCTGCTTTTTATGTTTTCTCTGATGCTGACTTCCTCTGATGATGCAGAGCGAGACTTTACATATAAGAAAAGAAAGAAAAGAAGTAATGGTCAAAATCTGGATTATTCACAGAATAAGAATCCTGCTTTGCTCTTTTGTGGTGTTCCACTGCAGAATGAAGATAGAAGCAGATGCGGTAATTGGCGATAGCGGGTATGTTGCCTTTGAAGACCTGTCCAATTTGAAATACACAACTGCGGTAAGTTGATTCCAGTCTCATGGTCCTCATTCTGGCAAAATTCCCTTTGTAGTCTTGTAAAATAATTTGCATGATAGCTTGAAAGGATGACCTTTTTTCATGAATATAAAAGGTTTTCTAGCAACTCAACTTCACCTTTAAAAATTGGCTAGGAACAGTTATCCCCTAATGGCAGATCAGTGGATGAAGTTACTTTGATGGTATAACCAGATGGAATTAACCCACAGTTGAACTCAAAGCTACTTATAGATTAGAGATGCAACAGAACAAGGCAGACTGCAATGTAGGAATGTGGGAAAGAGTCCCGCATGCAGATGTCGGGAGTAAATTTTGAGAACAATGGAGAAGATTGGTGTGGGATGATCAGTTATACTATTGTTAAATAACACATCCTCCCCTAGAAGTCTGTAAAGAATTTCTGAGATTCCGATCAACCAATGACCAACACAAAGGCATGGGGGGTTCTCTCCGTCCCATATCTTGCTTCAAATGTGATCAGTGGTCATACTGCCTGTGGAAAAAGAAATGTTAAAGGTGTCAAGCATTCAACTTCCCCTGATTAATGTTGGTTGTATGGACTGTACTGCACAGACAAGAGATATTAACTAATGGAACCATGGAATTAAGTTCATCTACAGACACATCGGTGTATCCCACTTTGGAAATACTGCAAGGCTTGAGATTTCACGAGGAACAATGACAAGGAAAGTAATGTGGTATTTTACAAATGCCAAGTTTCAGTATAGTGTGCTTGTTTTTGTGTACTGTTTTAGGTTTTGAAGGAAACTTTGCGGGTCCATCCTCCCGTGTCCAGCTTCCCACGACAGCTCACAAAAGATGTCATCTGGGATGGTATCAAAGTCCCTGCCAGTACAAATGTTGGTGTACGTGCTCCTTTTTCATATTATAAACTGGCTGTAATGGTTCTTGAAGATCAACACTGGAAATTTCACTTTTATCTCTTTTGCTTCCTTTTTTTAGGAAGGAAAGTGGTACGCCTATTTCTTAGCTGCTTTTAGCAATGTTTTCTATTTGTAAACACAAAGTGCACCTTCCCGTGAAACTTCCCCTTTCATGTTGGGTTTAGAGATGAATAGACACATCTGTCCAAAGCCTTGTATTGTTAACATTTTGTTGAGATATGCATTGACACATTAGCCTTTCATTAACCATTTCACTTGCAGGTGAATATAATGAACTTGGCAAGGCTTGAGGAACACTTTGAAAACCCCAAGGAATTCATACCGAGCCGATTTCTGACCAACGAAAGGTAACAGCTGAAGGGGTGGACGTCTAGCAGAATAACTGGATCTCGTATTGCAAAGACATTTTACTCATCACTTTGTGGAGTTGACATTCATAGACTCCAAGTTGGAGGGAGGATATTTAGGTAGTACAGCTTAGAGCTCATGAATATTTCTTTCAATATCAGTGAAGTTAACCAATGAAAAGACACCCTGTGGGTTTTGAGTAGTCCCCCCCATATCACCATAGGGGACATATAGGAGTGGGTCTAGTGCAGTTAATAAAAAGTTTCTCAAAGTTTGAACAATATCCTCAATTGCTAACAATTTTGGCTGTAAGATAATGTGTGAATGACTGAGGATGTCCTAATGTTCTCACCCGTCTGATAATGTCCTAAATGGAGCTGCAATCCAACTACATGCGTTTCTGTACCTCACATAATTCAGGTTTGGTAATGCTGGCACCCTGTATTTTTCTCCTCAGCTATAAGTATGTTCACATTCCCTTTTCTCTGGGTCCAAGAAAGTGCATCGGGCAGCAGTTTGCAATGGTGAGTGTTTGACACCCTTCCTTCACATTGTCTTGGTCAGGTGAGGAGTAGTCAGGTTATTCTCATAACACTCCAACTTTTGTGAGGAAGGGATTGGGAACCAGTCTGGAGCCTGAATATTTCTCATTTTCCTTGTCAAGGGATCTTTACTCACAAAAAAATAAGTCTTTTAAAAGTAGAGATCCGCTGTACTTAAACATTCACTTCAGTTTTAAGTTCTTGGAATATATTTTTGAGTCCCAAATACCTTAATTCTTCATCTTTGTGTTTCCATTTCAAAGCATGCCTCATTTCCCTGTACTCTCAATCATTGATTTTACAATTTTTGTTGCTTTATGGTTATGAAAATTTCCAAATTCATGGATTAAAGAGTGATGACATCTGAAGGCGCAGCATCAGTGCTACAGCTGCTGTGACATGAAAATTTGGGAGTTTTACTGCAATATTTCAGTTTTTGTTGCTTGTTGGTTTGAGACTTAGCGGTGCCAGGCATGCTTGTTTTCAGTCAACTTCATGCTGGGTTCACAATTTGGCCAGAAAACCTCTACTAAAAGTGCAGCATGTGTAAAATGCTGTATATAGAGAGTTACATCAGGATGTGTGATGCCATTTTGTTTCCAAATGGTTGGTGTAACACCAATCTATTAGAAGCTGTCAAAATACAGATCAAAATTGGACAAGTGTTCCGTGGGTAAATACACATTTGGCATACCCACCCTAGGGGTGTGCTTCATGGTAAACTTGGGAAACAAAATTGCTTCTAATCTGAAGATGACCGCACTCTATTGATGGTTTTGTTTATGTCACACATCAGTACCCTCAGATAGCAGGAACGACGAGGTAATGCATAAATGTTAAATACAAAAGTGCACAGAAAAAGGAAAAAAATCGAGATAAAGTGTGTCATTTTCATTTCCAAGGAGTGAATTCTGAAGCACCAAAGTATAAGTGTCGAATTGAAATTCAAAGCAAGATCAACATTCCCCCTTCAGATTGAGGCCCGTGTCATCATGGCCAAGCTGATGAAGTACTTCCACTTTGACCTTGTACCTGGTCAGTCTTTCCACTATGTGAAGATGGTGACCTGTAAGCCCAAGGATGGCTGCCTTATGTACATCAGACCGGTCACTGGTGTCAACCCTGTGTCTACGGCATCCTAGACCACATCAGACTGTCTGTATAAACTTCACCCCAGTGAGTTTATTTCATTTTCATAACCATTTGTTTCTTCGTGTTTCTTGACGCGGCTCCGGATCACATTCAGTGGTCCCAACTCTTATTCACTAAGTCCATTAGGTGGGTTCAGATCAGTGAACCAACGAGGGATTACTGATCAAGATCCTGATCCCTGTGAAAGAAACAAGCCCAAAACAGCTGTAGATAAGACAGAAACTTTGGTAGTTGTTGAACCATGACCAGGTCCTGGATTATCCATTACATGCGGTAGTCACTGTGCAGAGGGCCTACAAAGAACTCTAGGACCTAGAAAAATGTTACAGTCCGCTGTATACATCCTCTGGAACATTTTCAAAGGAAATCATTGCCTGTTTCAAGTCCCCCATAAAGTGGTGTAAACCATATGCACATCCACACCATTCAGTTTTTATTTTACAAAACAAATTTTGTATCGAAGTTGAACTGATCAAAATCTGCTTATTGCAGTCACTGATTCACAAGCTGAAACCGACCATGCTGTCTGTGTTTACTTGTGATAAAGTTTGTCTTTTTGAAGCATACAGTTCCATCTGTGCTTACCAGCACCATGAATTGGTGAGGGTGCCCAGGGCAGGAGTAGGGCCTACTGAAGACTTGTAGCTAGAGCCTACCGAGCGCTGAAACCAGCCCTGACATGACTCAGTATTGTATTAATTATGTTTAAACTTGTCCTCAGGGAGTTTATTCATACATGTATGTACTTGTGGTTTAGTATAACTATCATTGCTTTGTACTGACTCAGTGGCAAAGCACTGTACTATGCTTTTATTTTTAAACACAATGGTGCCCATATTCACGGATATGCACTGGACTGCAACCTTGCCATGACTAGAATGGAATATTCATTCGTCTTTAGATTCCAACGTTTCATGATGTTTGAAATTGGTACAAGTATTTGGTGTTATGCACAGCACAGACAGCTACTTTTGCAATGGAATTTCCATAGTGGGTTTATGTGCATAAACCACAAGATATACTTTGTGTGTTAGTAGGCTGTCATAGATTGGATTTGAAAAGGCACATAAGTGACAAATTACACTTGAGACTGTACTCTTCTGACAAAACTGTTGATGCTGCTTTGGTAGGGCATCTGGAAATATGATATTCCCACTCTATTGTCATATGGTGCTTTTTCAAAATCTAACAGCCATTTAAAGAAATACATGTGGCTGAGGGATACAAGTCTCTATTTTACACAAGTGTCCAAACAAGTAAACTGGAAACAGTGTTTTGTTTCTATAATAGTGTGTTTGAATTCAGTTTTAGACTTGAGCAAAACAAAATGGAAAATAGAACCAAGTTCTATATAAAACCAGCTTCACTTTGCATCTACCAGAGTTTCTGGTGTTGTAAAAATACAAAGATTTTTTCAACAGTATTCTTCAAACATTTGATATATTTTAAAGTAATACAAAGCTCTTGAGAAATTAATTAGAATTCCATTGAATTAGCCTTGAGATGTCAAATAAAATACCTGTATGTTTTATATTTTTTCAAAATTGTCTTGTACGTAAATAAGAAATTCTAAATTTATATAGTAAGTGTAATTAATTTGATTAAGAAATAATCACAAAATATCATATACCATATTTTGAAATGCTATTATAATAAGCAGTTTGGCAAAAAAGGCAAATTTTCAAAGCTTATTTCAGCAGTCCATTGATATAGTAAAGTGTAGGATTCAAAAGGTAGTAATGGCATCAAGTATGGTTTTGAATGTGAATAATAGAATAACAGTAAAATGTTTGATCAAGAGGTCGCTTTGGAAGTACATTGTACATATTCAAGCAGCAGGTGCACATGTACGTGGAGCACAATATGACATTCAGATTGATTAAATATTTATCTACTCTCAGTAACATGGATAGAATTGAAGTGAATGGCTGGACAAATGAAAACAAACAGCGAAACTGCTCTCTACGTAGCCGGCACAGCTGCCAATTTACGGTCATTGGAATGACTACAGCCAGGCTTCCGGGCCATGCTTGTCTTTGATGAGCAGCACTTGGTCGATCACTTTCCCTTGCTGCATGGTCAAAAAGGTTGAAAGAAAAAGAGGTTTTTAAAGGTCACAGGAAGATGATGGGAGAGGGGCAAGGCAGTAGCCAGGTTGGTGGTGGTGGTGGGGGGGGGTTACTTTGCTTGCTGATCCTAATTGAATCCAACCAAACACTTAAATATGTTTAGATTGCATCAGCTGCTCGTGGGGTTTGCCATGCAACGGCATCATGGATTTTCTTGCACATTTCAAATTGAAATTTCCTTAAATCCTCGTTTTCAAGTGTGAGATCTTAGATGAGTGATCGAGCACTTCTTGTCTATTAAGCCAAACACAACCTAGGCTGGAATAACCAGGCAGTAGCAGATTCTATTTGTTGGCACATTACCAAGGGTGGATCAAGGGGGGCCAATGGGCAAGAGAAATTTTAAAAAAAGGTGATTTTTGGTCTATTTTATTCCCTTCCTTCCAACTGTAAAATGAAGTCCCACCCCTCCGAAGAACTGAATTCCCCCCTCCACCCAAAATTTGGTTCCAGATTTAGGTTTGAAGGAAGGGGCACTGGAAGCCCCAATTACAAATGCATTACTAGCAGTGATATATCCAGCAGTGGTGGGAGAAGTCCCTTAACATCTTGTCAGTTTGTTCTGTTTGTAAATTGATTAAAGCATGTTAAGTGTCAGTATTTTTGGAAACACCTCTCTTGGGGATGGGAATGCTCCTTTTGGCATCAATTCCTGTATTTTAATGAGTGTCATAAGGCAAGTGTGAACCAAGTTATAGGGGCTTTTGCTCGCCCTTACATTGTTTGATCAACAGTAGCTTACAATGAGTATGTTGCATGTTGTTCTCACATCTACTGAACAAGTACATTTGTTCCCATGCCAGCCATTGTGAATTTTCGATTGGATTTTCTTGAGCACAAATCCTCAGCGTATTGGCTTGTGCATGGTCAAAGCCATTAACTTGTCTGCAGTAAAAGCATGTATCCCTTGCAATAAAAGGAACAACGTATCTTTTGTGTGGGACTTGATATGAGCTTTGGACAAAAAGGTGTTGAAGGACTATGGAGTTGTTGATAAGGGCCTTTTTTAGAGAAAAACAAGTTGGCCTGCTTTTGCTTCTTATCTCTGTAACCAGCAGACCGTGATGGACTACCTTGTCATCTGAGATTTGTTGCCAGGTCAGGTGGGTTCCATTGATCACATGCATCAATGTGAAACCGTAGTCAAGGGCGCGGAAAGCATCCCATGGCCGGGGAGGGGAGAAGAGATCGTGATGCTCCTGGCACCCCTTCCATTAAAAGAAAAACAGAGAAGTATAAAAAAATAAAACTACAATAACTGCATGGCTAATGCCTAATCAAAGGACTTCAACATCAAAGGATTTCCCCAAAATTAAATGAATGCCATAACTATCCATCACTTACCCCTGACCCAGTGGTAATGTGCACAGGTGCCTTAGGATTTGTGTACGGTGCCTCTGTACTGCCATTGTAAACCTGTCAAACATTATACAAAATAGGTTAATGCAAATATATTTAAACCATCAATGACAAATTGTGTTCATTACAGTGATTTGGCATTGCAACAAGAAAAGGAATACAGAGACACTCACCAAAATAAACACGAGAAAAAAACCAGCTACACATATTTACAGCAACTGTAATCACACTGCCTGAATGATCCATGTTTTTTAGTTCTCCCCATGCGCGTATTTCTTAGCACATGAAGAATTTGTACTACTTGTCTGCTGAACAAAATCTAAAGATTCAAGATACAAATTTTAGCCAATAAAAATAATTCAATTGTTCAGTTGCTTTCATGGAACAAAAATACTCTCACACTTAATTTGAAGTATTGGAAATTTTGCTGAGTACACCGTACCCGGAATATGATACACACACAAAAAAAAACAGTATCCAGTTTTTACGTGGGACCCTGGAATTTATTTTTAGAAGCCAACAGAAAGTAATCCAGTGGGACTGAACCGGCATTCACTTGTGCTAACTTCGCCGTCTCACTTGTTACAGTAGCACCAATATTGATGAAGCATTACTTCTGTTTGTGATGCATTTCTCAGAGTCTTCCTTTCCAGGGATTTGATATTGTGGAAAATAAAGTCAGCAATGTAGAGTCCCTTCAAATCTTTCTTCCTGAGACAATACCACAACTCTAGGCTTCTGTACCTTTTCATGATAGACTGGCCACAGTCTCTCATAGTTATGCTCATGAGCCCAGATCTCCATATCAACACCTGTATAAAAAATACGGGATTTAAATACCATTTTCTGGTTATTCAGAGTCGCTATCTTTTTACTAATAACTAAGTATACCTGTTCATTTTTTTCTGAAAAAAAGTCTCCAAGTTTTTTTTTAATCTTTGTTTGAAACCACATGCAGACAAATACATGTATATGAGATCTTATTTTCACGTTTGGAATGACTTACCATACTTATAGAATAAATCCTCCAAAGCCGCTCGAACCTATCAAAGGAAGGAAAAGAGTAACTATCTGCCTCGTATAATGAGATTTGAAGTTTTTCATGGTGAAGGTTGTAAGTTAAGTAATCGGTTTGGGGTAGCACCATGCAAAATATCTCTTTTGCGAGTATGTGTGGTTCTGAAAAGAAACGGAGGGTACCCAATGTTTCAGATAGTCTGCTCTGTCCATCGTCAGCAGACTGCAAGGGTTCCAACTGTGAAGTGGCTTTTATGCTATCTGCTCATTTTGTAAAACCTTATCAAGAGGTAGAAATCAACCTAGTTGGTGCTGGTAAGATAAGAACTTGCATTTTGTGATTCTAGAAATATGTACACGGATCATTTCATAATGTTTCTGCTTCACAGGCCTATTCCTTCCCAATCACAATGATGGCCTTTATACTCATAAAAAGAACTTGTTTCTCATTCAGCCACTCTGCAAAAAAACAGAAGACTCTAAGTGACATCTGCTTACAAGGCTACCCTTTTTGGTACAGTCATCACCATCAAGGTCTGCACAATACATTGGCCTGTGTCCCAGAGTTATGATCCAGGGGTGTTGGGTTCTGTTCTTTGGATCGCTTGCTTCCTGAAAGAAAAATCAAACTACAGTCAGAGCAAGCAGGAAAATGATTGACTAAGTCCTTAGTTTATTTTTTACATGCAGTTCACCATATCCATGGGGGTTATTTGAATATGACACCTGGAAGTTACAGGTGAAATTTATGTTGGTTTGAAAGCACCACGATAACAACTACAGACCAGTTTTTGCAACCAGATGCATGTCATAGAAACATCTTTGTTTTAAAACTGAGTAATGTGAGTGAGGTTTCAGTTGCTAAACCATGGATGAGCTGCCAAATACCTTGAGATCTTCCTCCAGCCATTTCAACTGGTTGACCTTTGTCTGCTTAGAATCTTCTGTGAAGAAATACACCTCAGTTGAAAACATCACAAAGTGAACTGGTCCAATATTCCAGCTGAATGAACAAGAGAATTTAAAAAGAGCATATCAATGTCTAACAACATTCCTAGGCAACAAAAACTGGGAAAAACTCATGCACATGCCAAGTCTTAATTCCATGATCTGCCCCAAAATACCTTCCATCTGTTTTTGTTTATTGCTAAGTAGAAAAACACTTAGCAAACGCACATCCACAACTTCAGAAAGGAGCAACAAATGTTGAGTTTTGTTTGCTCAGACCTCACTTTTTTGGACATACTTTTTCTCGTGCTGGCTACACCCTCTCATTGAGGCAAGATTCCCAAGACATTAGTGCAAGCATGGTGCAAGGAAGAGACAAAAGAACTGTGTAAACATCTGCAACCATCGCTATTGATCACTAACGTCTTGACCCAAGACTAGGAGTGGATAAGACCTTGTTACTTACCTATACCACAGATTCTGGTTGGCTTCATAGGATGGCATGGTGAACCGATTCTTGTAGTGGGAAAAATTACTGTTGGTATGCCAAATAAAATGTCAGTTTCTGAATAATCATATTGTGCTAATGCAATTTGATATCAACAGTCAATTGTACATCTTAATTTAATTTTTTTGTGTATTTTGAAAATTTATAAGAATTATAATACAATAATTTTAAGCCATTCACGTGGAATGATTTTACAAAGTTCATATTTCTAAGATGCATATTCATGATAGAAGGTGCACGTACATGTTCACGTACCTTAAATAAATTACTACAGCAAGTATGAGGTTGACTTAGTTACACTTACTAAGCATTTTCATGGTTACCAACTGTCGTCATGTAAGGCACATAGGCTGCAACCGACTCAATCTGGCGCATAAACTCATCTCCCACTTTGCCGTCATTGTCATCAAAGTTGTAAGCAAAGTCCCCTAGGGAGAAAATTAACACACAGGAGTCTCTAGTCAGGTGATTAGAATATCACTTGAAAGTCACAAGACATTTTAAAGACACATCGTTGAATAAAGACACAGGGTTGAACTCTGCAGTGGTATTGTGAATTGTCTATGGTTTCTGCTTTTTTCCATGATCCTTGTCAACTTCACACCATCTTTTACATACAATTATGTTTCCAAGTATACTGTGTAAATATTGTACCCAATATTGTTTTGTTGACAGTTCCGAAGAGCAGAGATAGTCTGACACTACAGTTATTTTACGGCCTGGTAGTGTTTTTGCTTTATAAACAACATGCTATGAAAAAATACCTTTGTTCTTTGATGTGATGTGAAACCAGTTTTGTTAAAATGACAAACTTGACCAATGTTCTAGTCCACTTTTGTATTTTATTATACACTGATGCTCAAAAGCCTGGACAAATGGGTCCAATAGGACAGCTCTAGATCTTTGCTAATCAGTATTTTTATCATATGCCATATACCAGGGAGCTAGAATCCTTACTGATGTAGTTAAAAAAAGTAACTCACCAACGTGCAAGATGGCATCATACTGTCCTCCCTGTGCTCCGACTTGCAAGCGACCCAGAGACTGAGCATTCACATTGCCCATGTCACCATAAAGGGCCAGGCGAGGGCTCCAGTTGCTACCATCCCGAAGCGCAGTGAAGAAAAACAGAGGGCTCCAGCCTTCTTCACTTCCACAGCGATAGACTAAGTGTGAAGAGATGATTGGCATGAGTCTGTCGTACTGCACAGTCGATCAATTGCATTGCACTAATGGTCAATCCTTCAACACTTTTTGGCCTCAATTTACCCTTTCCAAAAAGATTTTACACAACAAATGAGCTGATGGCAGGAGGGTCAACAGATCATGCCACAAGATTGACAAACAGTGTAAACACCAAGCAAAGATGTCAAAAAGTCAAAGACGTTAAAACTGAAGCATATCCAAAAAGTTCTTTACCAAATTTGCCATATATGTAAAATATGAAAAATCTATGTTTTGATTTTTTCCTTTTTTGAGAAGGGGTACTTATTAAAGTTTTTGTTTCAAAACCTCTACCAACAGGTCTGCCAAACTAATAAAGTGACCGACACCTACATGCTGTTCACAAGCAGCTTACCATACTTGATTCCTGGTTCCAGACCTGTCAGTGTCACACGATGAATGAACTGTGCACGATGTAGTGACCCACCATCAACAAACTTAGTGCTGGATCCTGTGGCATTGTTACTGGGCTGCACCATCCCAAACTGGACAACTGATGGGGCGTCGTTAAAAGTGCTCCAAGTGACAATCGTTTCTGTCACATCACCTACAAAGATCACAGAGATTACTTGAAACCATCCCTCTCAAACATTCTACACACTGGAGATTATACACTACAGCGTGCCTTAACAAGCGTACTTCTTAATTTCAGGGTTGACTTCCAGCATTCTTTTATGTTGCATTTATTTATTCATCTTTCTTTGCTTATGTTATGTGCGCATGTGTTGGTAAATCACTGGTGAAAACTAAACTGTGTTTACTGGGAGGAGGGGAGGCCCCCCTCATCTCTACTAGATCCATTGTGGCGATACCAATTACAAGTTCACATAAAAAGCACAAATGGTACCAAAAGGCACTGCACTTTCTAATGAACCCCTCTTTATTCTCTCTTCCATTTAAGAAAGGTGTCCTCAAGAGGTAAGCTTCATTCACAAACAAAACAGGTGCAGATCCAGAGGGAGGGTTTGGGTCATATCCCGCCCCCCCTAACAAATTTACCAAAAATAATTCAAAACTTAACAATAATGTAACAAAAAAGATGACATACTCTAAGGGTGATAATTTGTGTATCAGCAACAATGCAATGCATTACTTATGTGCCTGCCTGTCCGCAACATTCAGACATAAATAAAAAAGTCTGAAGGGCCTAACCTCCCTCTTGGATCTGCCCCTAAGAAGGTCTTCGACCGGCAACACTGGTAGAATGTCACAGTTTCCATCGAACAAAAAAAGATAAAACAGTAGTGCCACGCTGTACAGCAGTTTTATAAACTGATTGAAAAAATTAATGTAGTTGAGGCTGACAAAAGGTGAGGACCATCCCACCTGTTAAACTTGGGAAGAATAATGATCTTGTCCTCAGGCAGATGTCATGTGTTTACACAAGGACTTTCTACACATTTGGAGTTCAATCATAACTGCAACCCATTTGATCTAGTTGGTGTGATGTACTGGTTCAAAATATAAATACTAGCCTGTAAGAAACGGAGGAAAATGCTCGGGACTCTGTCATGCATTTTATAATTTGTGATGGCATAGGCCTCCATTATGATCGAGTAACAGAAGAGAAAATCAGCTGATGTGAGGAAAAATGTATGTCTGATAATCTAATTGGATATCTATGATCCAGAAATCATGTCAAAAATGTTAAAATATACTAAGAAGGATGAAGTATCCAGGCTGATTCTTCTGGTGTCAGTTACTAAATTACTAGAATTAGGTCTAGCTGTCTAGGAAGACTCCTTCAGTCATGTCATGGACGATGTTACTGAAGAAAACCAGTAAATATTATCAAGCCATAATCTGTCCCTCAACCGGTCGCCTAATTAAACTGAGCTAGCCCCATACTGGCCTCATCAGACTAGCTTATCTAGTCAACTTACCTCCACAGGTAGTCGCGAGCCATCGTATCTTACGCTGGGCTTGGTAATTAGAAGCAGGAAAAGTGTTTCATATATGGACAACACTGTTCTCCCTTAAAATGTTATAACGGCCATCAGAAACAGACAACATGTCCTAAAAAGTGAAATTCAGCTAAGAAAATTACCAAACTTAGATATCACTTAGATTTTTTTAAAAACAAGTTTCATAGTTTTGTGCACAGGGGCATCAATTGTTGTACATAAGTTTATACTGGGACTCTTTCCAACTTGAAATCGAAAAAGCTATCACTGCCGATCACGTACCTGTGGCTGACAGATGAACTTGTTCAGGTTGCTCCATCAGCTGACCATCTATCCCTACAATCAGAAAAACACTCGCCACCAAAATCGGAAAACCAAAGATATTGGTCATTTTGTTCTGTCTGATTTAAAGATGCATATCCTGAACACCGTCAAGGACAAAATTCAAGGCTTTGCAGCACTCCTCCCACTGCTGTCAAGTTTGCATATCCGGTAGGCTCCCGTGACTTGTCAGGTGCTAGTCATGTGAGCACATTATGTGCATTTTTTTGCGCCTTGTTTATGTGTATTGACATTATCATGATCGTACCCATAGCTACCGATACTGTTTGAACTTGAAACCCTCCTAGCACTGAATTGCCCACTTTAACTACAGCGACAATTAAGCTTGCCAATGAGTTGGTGTTTTCCTAGGTTAAAGCAAAACACAAAAGTTGCGTTGGACTTGTAGTTGAAAAAAAAGAAAGCGTTCTGACAAAGATACATCAAAACAAACAATAAATTCAACTCCTATCGCAGTTATCAGAAAGTCTGTAATTTTGAACAATTTTTTAAGACCAAAACTCGACTTCTCCTAATAGTTGTCATTTGGAGAAGATAAATTTCTTTTTTGTTTTGTAATTTCACTGAATCAATTTGTTTCGTACCAGCCAAGCGAAGACCTTGCCAAACATTTTTATTAGGCCCACTTGGGAATATACATATGCGTGGGTTCATTCCTTTTCCCTCCGTTCTGGAACCTGGACCTCTTCACTTTGGCCCTATCAAAAGTTTCTGAGGTCATGCACGAACTAGTCATATGTCATCTGATAGCATTCTCTACTGTCTTTGCTTTTAGATATCTCAACTTAAATGTCAGTCTACCAGCAGCGCAGGCGTACGTTGATGCATCAACTTCTAGAAGCGCTAAATAACTGCACCAGTTACGATTGAGCAACTGTTCGATTGAATCACTGGAATGTCGGATTTCCCGCCCACTGCTTGGCAATCATTACTTCGAGGACACCTCCACGTTTTTGTTTCACGCGATTTTTTCAACTTCTTACAAGGCGTGTATCAGTCCAAAAAGCAGTCAGGGGAAGTCTTACCTTCTACACACTAGGCCCTAGTAAAGGTTTGTGGAGTTATTTGGGGAGATGTTTGTAAGAATAATAATTAGGCTAAAACACATTTTGCCAGAGGTCTGGGAGACATACATAATAGTGGCGGGTTCCTATTAGAATTGCCACGTGAGTGGTGGTTATTTTCCCACGCCCATCAGGCATAAAACAAAATAACATAATAATTATGCATATATATTTTTTTGTAAAATGACTTTTTACACATAGGCCTAGTGCCTCATAAAACCTGCACCGCCTGAGCGGTGTCTGCACTGGAGATTTAAGTGTGCCCTGGAACCATTATATCTAATTTACATCTAATCTTATTAGCCCATAAGTGGGTCATGTGTTGATGAATTTAATGCAGTTTCTTCCTTCACCTTATAGAAAAAATTATCCTAGTGCGTTTACCCTTCTAAAAGGGGAACGTAAGAAAATTATTAACGACAGTTTCCATTCCAGTATAAATATACTTTCAGCCAGGCTAGCGACAATTAATCACATTTTGTCCCCAATAAATAAGGGAGTAAATAATTATGTGCTTGGCTAGTCAGTTTAAGCGCTAGATAAGGAGAATATACGCTGATAATGACCCAAACCAAGAAGGACTAGGACTCTGTCAGCGTTCATTCGAACGTTTAAGAAGGGCAAACCTGGATAAGGTATTTACAAGTAACACATAAAATATCGGGCGTGAATGGCCCTCTTGGGCAAAGGATACTCTTTTCAAACAATCTACAATCCTGGACAAAATAGTTAGAACACCTTGTGGGAAGCGCGGTGAAAAGATCCCCCCCTCTCCCGCATTTAATGTTCGGTCATTTATTGGACCAAGATTCGACCCAGCTTACCCAATGCAAAACAACACTGACAGGGGGCGAGGGGGGGGGGGCATGTTCCAAAGAGATTTGTCCAGGATTGTCTCTAAAAAGTCCGCCTAATCCTAATTCGGAGCGTGTATATCCCGCTCTTAAAAAATGCTGCACGCACGCGTGCGACAACAACCGCAACGGCACGCCACCTCAACTAAGAAAAGGAGAGTCATTCACACCCTTTGTCTTTCTTTTTTTCATGGTTAACCGTTGCAATGTTTCATCTGAAACCCAATCAGAAAGTGAAAAGAGACAGACAGAATTGTTTACTCCTCGTGTAACGATATAGCCCTTCAGACCGAATAAGAAACTTCATTTGAGAGAGATGTGTGCTGAAATTGTGTGGTGCACCGTTCACGATGCGCCCAACTTATGCCATTTTCAGTGGCCAGCTTGCCTCTTGTTGCTGATACCTGCGAGCAGCAATCCCGTTCGCGCAAATTTACTATCGGACTTTTCCACTAAAAAAATCCCGTATCGATGGGTGATCATTACCCATAGCTGTTCAAGGTTGCGGTCATTTATTGGACTGAGCTTGCGCAATGAGAAACAACACTGACAGAGGGCGAGGGGGGAGGCATGTTCTAAAGAGATTTGTCCAGGATTGTAGCATCCACTGGTTATTTCATGAACTTTACGTGCAGAGATTTATTTACCTGCTCGGTTTTCCTGCCTTTTTTCAAGAAGGGAAGTCAAAATGATAATGGTTGCGAGCCTTGAGTGTCTACTACTCCAAATGACTCGTATACCATACAAGCTGCATGATTGCGCCCCCTTCCAACAAATTTTAGTCACCTATATTATAATGCGTATTTCTCAGTCGGTACAGGTGTTCACCGAACATCAAATTATCAAATATGGTACATGTATATTACACAAACTATTCAAGTTCAAAATAAAAGATGTGAGCCAAAAACTAAACTTCAACACTAAGAATTTGTCATACAAAAAATTTCAGGGCTTATTTTACTTTCACTTGGTTAACTGTGATCCATATTTTTATCAACTTTACAAAAATAACACACTTGTAATTTATTGTAATTTGGTTTTATTGCAAAATCAAAAAGAGCCATTTTTACATACTCACGGCTGAGTGATACAAGTCTCTGTTTTAAAAGTTATATAAACCAAGAAACTAGAGACTGTGTGTTCTTGTTTTTTTTTATGATAGTGTTTTGGGTAAAGTTTAGAATTTCAAAGACGAAATACAAACAAACAAAAAGCAAAACCAAGTTCCATTTACACCCCACTTTCAGTGAGCATTCAGTGTTGCATCCAGGGTCTTTGGTGTTGTAAAATTGAAAATTTATAGTTTTAAGCAGTATCCTGCAATGTTATACATGTAAAAGTATATAACAAAATATGAAAGTACTAAACAAGTATAATATCTCAACAAGTACTGTGGAATAGCTTCAAAATTTAAATACAATTTGTCATGCAGAGGATCCCACCCCAAACCCCCATCGCCGGATTTTTTTTTGTACGGAGTCTAAATCTACAGGTTAGAAGACCCCCTATCACCTAGGGGCCTTAATTTGCATGCATGCTTAAGGACAAAACAACAAGATCTTAAATGGCTTCAAAACGGAGACTACTACATTCAGAACCCCCCCCCGGCAAACAAAAATTTCCTGAACCCCCCGTCAAAAATCCTGGCTCCGCTCCTGATTTATGTATGTCTTAGATTTATTCTTGGGCAAGATCCATTTACATGCAATTAAACACATTTTAAAACTGTTTTGTACGCTTTATATATATCTTTATATATCTATAATTTGTATACAAAAAGTGTCATCATTTGACTATAAAACACACAACAAGATTATCAATTAGCACATATTTTGAAAAGTTATTGCAGTCAACAATTTGGCAATAGGACAAATTTCAGAATTTTTTTAAAAACTATACATCACATACAGTGCAAAGCACACGACTTGAAAAACAGAGTGATCTCATTAAAAATGGTTTCAAATGTAAATACAAAATGCCACAAAAAATTATTGATCAAGGGGTCGAGTTGCTTTAGGAGTACATATTCAAATCAATGCTATACATGTATACATATGGAGTAAATTATGGCATTCAGCATTTATCCACTTTCAATAACAAAGAACAGAAATCCAAACAGTAAAACTGCTCCCGTGATTACAGCCAGGCTTCTGGGCCATGCTTGTCTTTGATGAGCAGCACTTCGTCAATCACTTTCCCATGCTGCATGATCAAAAAGGTTAAAAAGAAAAAAAAATGTTTTTGAGGGTCACAGAAAGATGTTGGGAAAGGGGCAAGGTAGTAGTCCGGTTGGTGAGGGTGTACTTTGCTTGCTGATCCTAATTGAATCCAACCAAGTCCTTAAATGTGTTTGGATTACACCTGCTCATGTCTAGTTGGTCTCGTGGGGTTTCCCATGCAACTATACCATGGGGTTATTTCCACACATAGAATTGAACTTGCTTCCTGAAATCCTCTTCTTCAAATCTGGAATCTCAGATCAGTAATCAAGCGCTTATCTGTCAAACAATGCAGGTATAGGGTCACAACCAGACAGTGGCAGAGTCCATTTTTCTCCACACTACTAATTAAGGTGTAAAAGGGAGGGTCATCAGAAGCCCTAATTAGGAACTCACTGCTGACAGTGGCATATCCCATGATGTGGAGGGGAAGGGGAAATAAGTCCCCCCTCCAACATAATGTCAAATATTGTGCTATTAATTAAAGGCATCAGCCATTGAAGCAAAGTACAACCACTTTTCTTGAGGATGAGAATTCTCTTACTGATGGACCAAGTTATGGAGGACAAATAAGACCTTTGACTAGATGGCAGCTTTTGGTTTGTGTCTCCAAAAACAGGAAACCCTGACAGACTACCTGATCATCTGAGATTTGTTGCCAGGTCAGATGGGTTCCGTTGATCACATGCATCAATGTGAAACCATAGTCAAGGGCTCGGAAAGCATCCCATGGCCTTGGATGAGAGAACAAATCATGGCGCGATTGGCACCCCTGCCGTACAAAGAAAAACAAAGACAAGGCAGAAATATGAGAGGTTAAGACTCTTATCAAGTGTGTACAGGTACATAAATTGGAATAATTAAGAAAGTCCTGTACTGTTTCAAACAAAATAATTAAAAGTGGTTTTCGTTATGTTCCTTTTCTTAATGCCATTATCATCCACCACTTACCGCTGACCCAGTGGTGATGTGCACAGGTGCCTTAGGATTTGTGTACGGTGCCTCTGTACTGCCATTGTAAACCTATCAAATAGGTACAATTTTTGAATACATGAATCATCCTACACCGATACTTCAGTTTCTTTGATGAAACATGAAACAGTTTCCCCCACTGAAGTATTAAATGCTAGAAACTATGCATAATTGCAGAAATTTGGGATCCATTTTTTGTGTCACTGTCACATCTGACATATGATTTTGTAAGTTTAGAACACATTTTCTAATTTCAAATTAATAACAAAGGTCAGATGTAACAGGGACACGAAAATGTCACACTTTTGGACCCCTACTTTCTGGAATTACCCCCCGAGGCAAACCACTTAGTATACTGCACTGAGGATGTATATATTAGATTCTTCCTTTCTGGTGATTGATGCTATGCGAAATGAAATCAGCAATGTAGAGTCCCTACAAAACTCTCTAACAGAGACATTTTGGCAACTCTAAGCTTCTGTACCTTTTCACGATAGACTGGCCACAGTCTCTCATAGTTATGTTCATGAGCCCAGATCTCCATATCAACACCTGTAAAAGTTAAGGGCATTATAAAATATTTCCTTAAAAATTTGTTCCACCTTTTCACCAAAAACAACTAATTTTACCAGCTCATTTTTAAAACAACTCTCCAGTTTTTCAACTTTGTTTAAAACAAAATGCAGACAAATATTAGAGATCTTATTTTCACATTTGGAGTGACTTACCATGCTTGTAAAATAAATCCTCCAAAGCCGCTCGAACCTATCAAAGGAATGATGAAAAGAGTAAGTAGCTGCCTTGTAATTTTGGAAAACTTCACAAAGAAATAGAAAACAAGCTAAGTAGTGGACTATCTATCCATCCAAAAGTCTTGCTTTTTGATTCCAGAAAATTGTATACTGACCATTTCACCATAAATGTTTCTAATAATAATCATACTCCTTTCCAATAAGGAATTGGCCAAGTAGTTATCACATGGACAAACTGCATTCTGATCTTTTTTATTCTTCCAAAACCCATGCTGGATTTCAAACAGTATGTGCTAGAACTCTACACACAGCCACAGGGAACAGCTGCTACAGACTTTTCAAGAAAGTAACATCATTGTCTTCAAACTGATATTTGTTTCTTTCAAACTTGTGTCTTTGCTTTTGGGTTGAAAGGGAGTCTCCAAGTATGTAATATCATCTTATGAAATTGGATCTAATCTTACCACAGCTATCAAGGCCCTTGAACTTGTAAGTCCAAGGAACTGTCCCAAGCACTCTGGACAGAGCCTAAATAACACATGTATACTCTCAAGGATGATCTCCATATCACAGCCTTTGCTTTCTCATCCTGGATCTACTGACATCAAAACTATAAGAAGTCACATTTCATTTCTGATCTCTCATTCAAGTTATCCAGCTAGTCAATGAAAACTAATATACTCCCTGTGAGGTATACTCACGAGGCTACCATTTTTGTTACAATCATCACCATCAAGGTCTGAGCAATACATCGGCCGATGTCCCAGTGTTATGATCCAGGGATGTTGGGTTCTGTTCTTTGGATCGCTTGCTTCCTAAAAGAAAATCATGTTTCAGACAATTGCAGCCAGTAGTTAAATGACTGACCTTATCTTTAACTGTATTAGGTCTGGCTCAGATCACCAATACACCATATGCACAAAAAAACTTATAAGAAAATGGCACTTGAAAATTGTGGAGGGAAAGGTTTTATTCTTTTAGAGGCTCCAGCCTTAAAAAAAATCAATACAGGAGCAATTCCTGCAACAAGATGCATGTCATCAAGGGTGAATCCGGGGGGGACCAACGAGGGCCAAAACACCGACCTCCATCCATTTTTTTTAATCCTACGAAGAAGGCAATTTTTTCCATTTCTCTTCTTTCAAGAAGCATACAAAGCCCTAAACTTAACCTCAACCCCACAGAAAGGCCATAAAAGGATACACGGAAGGGAGTCCAGTTTGCTGTTTCCTCGCCTTCCACCGCTGCTGCCCAGGTTCAAATCCCATCAATGTCTACATGGAGTTTAGGTTTCATTCCAAACCAGATGCCGTGGGTTTCCCTGGGTACAATTATCTGGATTTTCTTCCTACCTTTAAAACTAAACATTTCCTTGTTTCTTCTTCATTGTGAGGGCCCAAATGATCAGCTTATCCTCATTCACAGATTGCAATAAATGAAAACTTTTCACATTTATTGGCCACCCTGAAAAGTTTAGCCACCCCCCATAAAATTATGTACTCAATCCATCCTTGCTTGTCGCAGAAACATCTCTGTTTTAGACTGCTTACAGGCTCTTCCTGAGTAGTGCTGAGTCACCAGTGTGACGTTAAGTTGCGAAACTCTGGGTGAAAAAAATGAGCTACCAAATACCTTGAGATCTTCTTCCAACCACTTCAACTGGTTGACCTTTGTCTGCTTGGAATCTTCTAGGAAGAAATACACCTCAGTTGAAAACACCACAAAGTGAACTGGTCCAATATTCCAGCTAGAACAAAAAAGGGAGTTGGAAAGATCATATCAAGATCTACCTCAAATTCCATGCAGGAAGCTTGGGAAAAACTCATGCCCTGACTTGCATGAAAAATGACCTTCATCCATTTTGGTCTATTTATTTATGTTGAGAAACACTTAGTGGAAGACACGTATGAGGCTTCAAAATGCAGCAACACATTTTGAGTTTTGTTAGCTTGGGCCTCGATCACTTTTCAAGATAAAAGCAGAAGATGAAAGAGGATGTTATCAGAAAAAAAGTGACTGCTTATGAGTTTGACTAGTGGCCATCAAAGTAGACGGTTTTCTTGTGGAAATCATATTCTGGAATCAATGATCTATACAGCATTAACAAATTTACACCTATGGGTTCTCTGAACGTGCAAGGTCCTTTTACAAGCAATAATGTCCCATTTGGGTAAAACACCACAGTTATGTACAACTGGTTTGCAAGCCCAAGGCATGTAGCATGCATGACTTTTTCCCTTTCATTCAAGGGTAGCTGCAATCAATTTTTGTGATTAAAAAACCTCCAGAATGCACCTCTGTGCCTCAGTTAACCTTATTTTTAACTTCTGTTTCTATTTTAATGCCTTTTTGGCTTTTATGTTAATGAGTATTTCCATATGAGCAAAACTGTGATGCCATCTTAGGAAGAAGCCTCAGTGTTACATTGGTTTGCACAAAAAATTGTAGATTTCCCTGGGCTTAGTTTTCTCTTCTTTGTTGTTTATGTGTGTAACAATTAGAAAGCGTCAATCCCTCTCTCAGAAATGTGTTCAGTTTGTAAATTCTGGATTCACAATTTGAACAGAAACACCTATGCACTGAACCTAGTCTTCCCTATATAATTTCAAAGCAACAGTGCCCTCAGCTGTCTGGAAAAGTATGGATAATTTCAATTGTTTAAAGCATGCACTTTTCAGTGCATTTAACCAACTTGAAATGTAAAAGAGTTTTCATACATTGAGGAAGAGTGCAAAGATGCAGAAAAATTGTGTCGAATGAAAATTCATTGCAGCTGTACTTTAAAGGGAAAAACCCCAGCAAGACACACACACACACATAAGTGTGTATTTGCCTGCAACTGGGGACCCCCTATTGTTCCTCTTTTGTTTGTACTTTAACTTTTTTA